TGGCCTATTAGTGGTACGGTACTTCGAAGTGTACTACGCAGTTCTACCGTTACTAACGTTAATACGGTAATTCCGTCATCCACTGCAGAATCATCAACACTCGCCGTTCATCTGTACGTACATGAATGACTTCCACCTCGCGATAAAGATGCAGGAATAACTACAGTAATAGTGCATGTATGCTTACTCAGCCAAACGTCACTTAAGGGTTGGTGCGATAGAAATATTTAACCAGGTTTACTTAGTGTAGACGTCTAGGGATCACCCTAATGTCATAGTGGTCGGGGTTCGATTCACCGAAAAACGATTTTTTTCCTGAAATGTAAAGTACCTTCACACTATAAAACAATATCGTGTTTTACAGTACTCCATATTCACGTACTACAGTAGTACCTGCAACTACGTTGATAATTTTGACCACGACATAGTGAACACCCACATGCAACTACGTCGGAGATTACGTCGCTTTGACAAACTCACTGGTGGGGTGCGAAAATATTCCAGTAAATTTTCAGTAAATCAGAACACAGATTTACTGATTGGCCAATTTACTGGGCGCGGTGGAGATGCTCTTTACAAACGTGATAGTTATTAATAGTAATATGGACGGAAGAAAATAGAGTCATCTTGTTGGCCAAAATACAACAAATATTCCTCCAATTTTGAAGTACGCTGACCAATTACATCGCGTAAATTAGGCACAACTTCGAGTGATAGTGTAAATTAGGCACAACTTCGGGTGATAGTGTGGCTTAAAATCTATCGTTAGCTGTAGCCCCTGTCACAGCACCTCCTGTAGTTAGACATTTTTTCGTAATCGTACGTCTGAGTTGTACAGTACACCTGCCCACAACATACAGTGCGACCAGGAATTCCCTGATCCACTGTTACTAGTACTTACGAAATCATTTCACTTGTTCGTACTATGCCATAGTTAAATGCAGTTTTAACCAAACCAACACCTTCGGGTTAACTGTAAGTACATTTGTCATTATGGGGTCAATTTGTGCCAATCAATGGATACAGGATTTCTGTCCGACTTTTTCATGATCATATTATTTTTTAGCTTTAGACTTACCTTTTGTATCGAAAGCACATTCCAATGATCGAAAAAGTCGGACGTTTGTCAAATTTGCATAGTCCATCCGACTTTATATACTGATGTACAGTTCACAGCCTATCAGGAGTTTGATTGGCTAATCTCCACCATTGCATTGCGTCATAGACAGGCCGATCAATCTGACGATTGTCGCACATACGTTCTTTGCAGAATGGCCGAGGAACGCACTTTTGTAAGCTGTACCATCGGACTTCCTGTGACAGAGTACTCAAGTACGGTAAGTTCAAAGTATACTGTATTACTATACAGTATACTTTGAACTACTACTATGGAATGATAGACTACTAGAATTAATGTGCACTGAATTCTCAGTGTAAATTAACACGAATCGACCCCAGCACCAACCACTACATTAACGACCACCACACTCGTCAATGTAGTGGCTGGTGGTTGGCGTAGACGTGGTGGTGACGTCTGTCGTCGTTGAGGAAGGAATACTCAACGACGGCAGATGCCACCACCACGTCCACGCCAACGACCATGCAGTCCCCGCACACGAACGAACCACGCAAGGGGGTCGATGCCAGGACCTACCACGCATGTGCCATGCCCAACCACTTCAGAATTACAAATGTATACCAATAATCCCGCATTTATAAGGCAACAGTGGAGAATCACATCCAAGATAGTTTTAGAACGACAGTAATGACAAGATTACGTGTAACGTTAGTCACCGTGAAGTGAACGAGTCTTAGTATAACTCCTACATCATTTTACTCATGTGTGTATAGCAAACACCTAAAGAACGCAATTAAATTACCTACAGTGTTTGCACCATTAAGCAATTCAAGGTTGGATCCTTACGAGTGAGTACATACAACACAAATACCGTCTTGACGCGCTATCGCTAAGTAACCTCTTGTCGGCGCCGCCGAGCTCACGTCCTCGTGCCATCACTGTGTAGCCTCTTGTCTCCGGCACCCTCCTAATGCAACCGCCCCATCGATCGTGAGGAAATAATGAAATGAGATGTAATAAGAACTGGCGGACTTTCCACATACATTCTGATTGGACAAAAAAATAGCACACATTGGACTGGTCAGATTCTACATTACCGCAAGTTCAAGTACAAACAAGCACGATTGATTTCGAGATTTGAACTCGGGGCATTACTGTACTGTAGCAACGCCGTCACATACCACGACACTTGGACATGATCCAACAAGGGCAAAATCGTGGCTTGAAAGTTTGGTTCTAAATGTTCCGTCGTTTACATGTCCACCTTCACATACATTCTTCGAGATATAATCCAAAACCACGCACCAATCGACGTTTCGTACGCCCCATACCCATACAAATGCAGCGCTTGTGGCTGGCCCTCCGCTTTCTTCTTATCCTTTCGGTAGACCACACTAATGGGAATGGTTGTGCCGTCGCTTGCCGTAGCCTTCACCCGTTCGCTATGGTACAACGATCTGAACACATGTTAGATTTATCCGTAGATGTTTTCTCGTTACCGATCGTAGTGTGGCACTGGCGTTTCCTTCAGAATCACCGTCTTGTTCGATAAAAGGTCATACTCCACCGTTTGCTTGGGAGTCGTCAAGGAGCTGTACGTGTATCGGTACTTGGTCGTGGCATATTCTTCATTTTCAGCGGTGTCCAAAGCGTAGATGGCTTCGGGCATGGGGAGCCGAGTCTTGTGCCACGTCGAGCTGTTGGTGTCTTCTACGATAAAGCACCATCGGTACAATAAACATTTGTTGAAACTACTTAAATATTGCTAAAGCACCATCGGTACAATAAACATTTGTTGAAACTTCTTAAATATTGCTAAATACAGGCAGAAGAAGTTAGCCAACCAAGTAGCAGGAAATCAATCATAGTCAGCATCTAAATAGTATATAACATCAACTAGTGTGTTGGACATCATACACTACTGGCCTTTGGTATATACAAGATTGAGTACAACGATCGATCGCTCGAGGGGTTTCGCCAAACTCCAATTTGTTGCTTCATCATGGAATAGGTGTATGTCGACAATTCGTGTAATTACGGCAACCATACAAATTGTAACAATTCATAAC